GTTGCTAATCCCTCTCACCGTATTGCTGAACCTGGTAACGATAATGGTGAAGCAGGTTCCAATGGTTCTCCTGGTAAACAAGTGAATCCAGATCATCACAGTGGAAGTGGTCCTGTTGGTGGGCCTTCTACTACTACTACTACACCTGTTAAGGCAAATGAAGGTGGGCCTGATAGAGAATCTGCTGCTCTTGGTGGTGATGCTGCTGTGGAAAGTGCAAACGGTAAAGAAGGTGAAGATGCACCTGCTGCTCCTTCTCCTGCAGCTGCAGTTAAACCTGGAGACAGCAGTAACAGTGGAACAGGTGGAAATGAAGCTAACGCGGAAGGTGATGCAACAACACAACCATCACATCCCAACAATACAGAGACAGGGACTGCCAGTGAAACCAATGCTGCAAATATTGAAAATGGCACTCCATCTGGAGAGAGTGAATCAACTTCAACCACCACCACCACCACTACCACCACAACAACAGTTCCTCCTGAACTCACAAACAACAAGAAGGGTGATGCAGACAGCAGCAGCAGTATCAACAGTTCTGTGTGGGTGCGTGTACCACTACTGATTGTGGTTACACTGGCCTGTATTCTTGTGTGCTGATTGTGGTGGTGTGACTCAGGTCATCCTTTGTTTTCTTTTTCTTTTTTTACATTAATCCCTACAGTCTAACTAATCTTCCACCTGTTGGGGATTTCTCTTCTTTTTGGTGTTTCTTAATGTTAATGTGTTTTGTGTGTTTTTGCTCTCTGTGGTTTATCCTATAATTATTATTATTGCTACTACTGCATTGTGTGTGTGTTCTTGGAGACTCTCTCTGTGTGTGCACCTGGGCTTGCACTGTGATGATAATGATTAATTGCTTTTTGCAGTGAGAAGGAAAAAGAAATAATAATAACGGATGAATTTATATTTATAATTTCCTTTGTACACATATACAGACTTACACCCATAGTTGGTGTATTTCTGTGTATACTGGGTACGTTGGGCTAATAGTTAATTTTTTTTTGCTTGTGTTTTGCTGTGTTCTTTATGTGCTCTTGTCCTGCATTGTTATGTTTATCTACTTTGAATAGAGAAAAAAAAAGTAATTGTTAGACATAATTTCATTATTGCTTATAACCACCAGCATACCCAGTCATCTTCGTAAATTGTATGTTTGGTTGGGCATTTCGTTGTGTTTTTAATTTCTTTTTTCATTATTTCGTGCTTTGTTCGGGTTTTTTTTTAGTGGTGCTTCTTTATTGGATTCTTTATTGTTTATACTAGTACTTTTGTTTTGTGTGACTGTTCATGTTGTTGTTTTTGTGTGTTCTATTTTACCATCTGCTTTTGTTTCTATTGTATCTTTTTTATTTTCTTTTTTCTTTCTTTCACTTTTCTTTAACAAAGTGACGTCAAACAATCAAGAATTACTATTGCCGTGGTGATGAGACCCGTTGTGTGTTTGCTGGTTTTTCTGCTGATTGTTGCCTCTGTCTGCATGGAAGCTAACGCGTTTACGAATGAACCTAATGGGACAGTTGGTGATGGTGATTTTAAGTGCACTCCTGATAGTTCTGGTACTTGTACTGTTACAGGTGATGTCTTTACAACTCTCTTTAAGGAAGAAGTTCTTCCAACTACCTCAGACTCTACTGAAAGTTCTAACTCTGGTACCACAAGGAGTTCCACTGCGAAAGGAGATCATGGTCCGCCCCAAGAACCAGTTGAGACGGCACAGGAAGGGGTTCGTGCAGGACAACCAACACTCTCTACAAATCCAGGAACATCTTTACAAGAAAACCAAAATGATCCAAACGGTTTGCATGAAAGAGAAAGAGGACAACTTACCGTTCTTCCGTCCACCGCCCAAGAACAAAGTAGAGGTGTTAAAGACAGTTCATCGGTTACTTCTGCCCCTCAACCGGGCCACAGTAGACCTGATAGTGAAGGTGAACCCAATGGAGAAGAACAAATCCAACCTGCAGAGTCTACTCCAACTACAGAAGGTAACCCAGGATCATCAAATAACACAGGGGATCAAACTACAACGGGCGATTCTAATACTACCGAGCAAGCATCTCCTGCAGAGAGCGGTACGACTGGCATCGAAGGTTCACAGGGGAATGGCAATGCTGATGCAACAGCCACCAGAACTAATACTACCACAGAAGCACCAACCACCACTCCATCTCCTGTTCCCGTAACTGACCCAAAGATCAGCAGCACCATCACTTCCAATGTGCAGAAGAATAAGGCTAATGTTGACAGCAGTATCAGTCCTGTGTGGATGCGCACTGCAGCACCTCTGCTGATTATGGCTGTGTTGTTCTCCGTTACCCTGTACTGAACGGTTGGAGCCATCTGAGGACAAATAATAATAATAATGGTTAAACTAACATCAACATAATTGCGTACATCTCCCATGGGTGAATGAATTAATAATCTGTTTACCAGCTTTCTCTTTCAATTCGAATATCTTTACTTTTACTTTTATGTGTGTTCTTTTTCTAATAATTCCATTACTTGCTTTTTCCGTTGTGTGTGTTTGCAGAAAACTGGGCTGTTCTGCTCACTGACGGTATACATCTCTTGCTAGTACACACAGATGTGTGTGTGCAGTAATTTAATATAAAAACTAGAGCCATGGGGTATTGTGTGTGTTTGTCTCTCTCTCTTATTTGGGTATTGTGGGGTGTTCTCTTTTTCCATTAAGGGGTACATATTATTATCATACAAGTGGGATATTTTTTTGTTGCTTTACTGTGCACTTCTTTCTCTCTCTCTCTATCCCACTGTGAGTATTTGTGTCCTGCATCCACTAGCTATTTATGCCTCTTTCTGTTCTTCTTCTTCTCTTGTAGTAGTTTATTGAAATAAACAACAACAATGACAAAGGCTGTAATGGTGAGGTGCCACCTTCTTTGTTTATTACCTCTTGCACTCTGTTGTGCTTCTGGGTTAGTATGGGCTGATAGTCCTAAAGCTTCTGATGCCCTTATTAAACTTCCATTCGTGGTGTTCCGTCTCTTGTTAGTCGTGCTATTCCTGCAGTTGCTGAAAGTTGGATGGTGTATGAGGATGAGGAAGATGGTGATAGAATTGATGAGGATAGAGAAAGAAGAAGAGAACATGAGTCCGATAAAGTAGGAAAAACAACAATTAACAAGCCATCAACAGTCTCTGGGTCAATGGGAAGTGAAGGTTCTCTCAGCCCTCAAGAGGTCCCTGTTAATTCCACAGTCCAGCAGCAACGTCCACCACCACCGCTGGCTTCTTCACATGGTAAAGCATCCGCTGAGGGTAAACCAGGTGTTATTGGTGTTGATGGTCTTCCTGGTAGTCCAGGAGTTGAGCGGAGTGATATGTCTGAGAGTAGCAGACTGGGGAAAAGTGATCTGTCCGTAAAAATGCCTGATAGTGGGCCAACACTCATGGATCAAGGTCGAAAAAGTACTGATAAAGAACAAGTGGAGGAATCAACCCGTGGTGATGATCACGTAACTTCTGGTACGACAGAACATCAGGCGGAAGCATCACAGATTTCTGGAGAGCAATCGGAAGAAACAACACCTAAAACAGATGGGCACCAATCACCCAATTCTGTCAGTCAACAGAATACGGGTGGTTCTGGTAGTTCAGGATCCGGTGTGTGACACACCTCAGAGTTCTCCCGCAGAGAACACTGAACACGGTAAAGCTGAGAATAATGTTGGACAGCCTCAAAACGGTACCGGCACAGATTCTTCTTCTCCTTTGAAAGAGGTCACCCCTTCAGGAAGTGGATCAAAAAATAACCCAGATGATATAGGAAATACAGATACCACTACCACCACCACCACAACAACAACACTTCCTCCTGAACTCACTAACAACAAGAAGGGTGATGCAGACAGCAGCAGCAGTATCAGCAGTTCTGTGTGGGTGCGTGTACCACTACTGATTGTGGTTACACTGGCCTGTATTCTTGTGTGCTGATTGAGCTAATGGTGGTGGTGTGGCTCAGGTCATCCTTTGTTTTCTTTTTCTTTTTTGCATGCATCCACACTACAGTCTAACTAATCTTTCCACCTGTTGGTAATGTATTTTCTTGTTTGTTTCTTAATGTTAATTTGTTGCTTTATTGCCTTCATTCTATGTATGCTACTATATTTTCTGTGCTTGGGCTGTTGTATGCTTTAACCAGTATAATGGGATAGTCTTTTTTGTGGAATGAGAAAAAGAAAT